AATCTTTTCCCCATTCAAAGTTTTTTATTGGTTTATCAAAGATGAGGTAATGGTAGGTAGCTGGATTCATCTGTGGGCTTTCTATTCTGTTCCATACATCTGCCTCTCTGTTTTTGTGCCAATACCATGCTGTTTTAAGTACTATGGCTTTATAGTATAGTCTGAGGTCTGGTAAGGTGATTCCTCCTGCTTTGTTTTTATTCCTGAGTAATGTCTTAGCTATTCGAGGTCTTTTCTGATTCCATATAAAGTGAAGTGTTATTTTCTCAAGATCCTTAAAATATGACAGTGGGGCTTTAATGGGGATTACATTAAAATTGTATATTGCTTTGGGTAATATGGACATTTTAACAATGTTGACTCTTCCTAGCCATGAACATGGTATATTTTTCCATTTGTTAACATTTTCGGCTGTTTCTTTTCTTAGAGTTTCATAGTTCTCTTTATATAGATCTTTCACATCCTTTGTTAAGAAAACACTACACTGTACCCCCTGTTTGCATTAATGTATAGAGCTATCATTTAATAAAAATATATATATATATTTAAAAAAATAGAATTGGACAGAATGTTTTTCAATTACATTCTGAATGCAATTTTCCAGCCCCATAAGGACTTTAACCCCTGCAACATATCGCCTCCCCCGGGAGCACTATGTCGGTGTGGCTAACTGGGCAGTTTCCAAAATGTCCATAGACCGAGAGTGGCAATCCCAAGGCTGTCTGTTCGCTTTTGGCAAGAACTAATGATTTACGGCTGTGCCTATCCACGCCTCTGGATTAAACTCCATTCTTTTCAGTTAGGTTGTGGTTTAACATCCTGAGTGAAGCGTTTTTGACACGTGTCCTAAAGGGAGCCTACATCAGAAGAATTTGAGATTTTAAATGAGACTTCTAGAAAATATAAAGCAAATTACGAATTTCCAGAAATATTCTTCACGTTTAACATAAGGACAATGTTTTAACGTTTGTCTTTACAAGGGAAAGAACATTAAAATTGAGCTAGAGTTTTGCCAGATGTGAGATGTAAACATTTTCTGCACACTTGTTTCTGGTAGGCTATTCCCCCCGCCCCACCTCCCGCACAGAGATGCTCAAACTCTCCAGTGAATTTTCAGAGCACACCCTAAATGCAGCAATTAGGCATTTGTGTGTGAATGTGTGCACTTAAATGTCCACACATGCAAATATCATGTGTTAAGCCACAAGATTTGGAGGTCGTTGGTGAAAGCCGCTAACAAGCATTCCCCTAAGTGCATCGCCCAACATGACTTCAGCATTTGACAAAACCCAGCTAGCAGTGTTTCACTTTACCTTCTTGATTGTTCCACATCCATCAAGAGGGATAGAAAACTCCACAACATTGGATACTTTGGGTCTGCAAGTTGGGTCGTTTAGTTGTAAGTCGTTCCCATTATAGTTATAGGACTCTAGATAGGAATTACTTATGATAACCCTCATCTTGTCAGAAGAGCAAGTTAAAGATGCTGTCAGAGAGAAAAAAGAAAAAGGATATCATGGTTATACCAACTAGGAACTACGGATCTTGAAAAGCTGTGCGTGCGGGTGAGTATATAAAAAGCCAAAACCCATCTTGCCCTAAACAGTAATCAGAAGCCTGAGACAGCTAAGCAGTTGATTCGCCTTGGGCTGTATTCACAGTGCCTTTGTTTGAACTAGAATCTGTAAATCTGATATTTTTAATTGTGTCTTTGCAGAAGAGATGAAGGGAAACAGTCCATATTTTCTGCAGGAATCCTTTACAGGTCAAAATAGCATTCATTTCTTCTCGCATTAAGCACAGACCTGATTCTCAAGCTTCAGGTCATGAAATTGTTCCCAACTAGAAGAGACAGTCTTGCAAATAGGGACAGCTGCATAGGCTAAGTTTACGTGCATATAATCTTCAGAGAGGCTCAGTGTAGCTAAGAACATGAAACGTGACTTACTCGTGTTGATGTTTTCTGCATAAATTGAAGTGTAGGAAGCAGAAAATCCACGATAGGAATTGGCATAATCCGTAGATAACACAACTGTCAAAGAGTCTGAGGAGGACTCAAAGGTGGGTGTCACACGGCCGCAGACTTTTCCAATCAGGCCAGAGCTGGTAGAGGATCCGTCATAGACAGCAACGAAATCGAATCTACATTGGTCGTCTATTTCTAGGCTAGAGAATGAGGCCTCTGGTGAAAAGCTTTTCAGAGCATTTCAATTCTATGTCCTAAAATCTCAACAATTCCACTCATATGTGATTAAGAATTTTTCCCTCAGTTGCATCTCAGGTTTATGATGGCAAGCCCAGGGCTTTGTCGGTCCCTAACAAGGCCTCAGCATCTTCAGACAAATAATCAATTTAGTTCAATGCAATAGTATCACTAAGTGTTTTCCTTTCCATATCTACACCAATCATTTAAAAGTGCCCACATGTGGGTGTTGCATGTAATAATTTCTCCTCGTCAGGTCTCCATAATTACTAAGTGATTTCACTACATTTGCTCCAATAGAAGTAGACCTCAGTACTCACAAAATCTCTTTGAAGTTTAATTTTATCTTGTAACCTTTCTCCACTTGTATGTGCCACACACAATAAGCCAGCTCAGGATGTGGCTTTGGGTAATTGGGGCTGGTAAAAGATCCTTCCAAAGCATCCAGGTAACCACCACAGTTTGGAATAGCTGAAATGATTATGAAGGAGACCAAGAACGTAAGTCAAGATGGATTTGTTCCTATTTTTCGTGCTGTACATTGAGCTTATAAATGTGTCTCATCTGAGTGTCATTCCAAATCTGTCTTTCCCCCGGGTTGCATATGAGATCTTCGTCCTTCTCAGAGCAGGCAGTGAATTTTTATACTGCTGCCAAATCAATCACATTGAAGGGACACTATGAGATCTGTCCCAGCTATCGAGACCCTCCATTACCTGGATTGAGCCATAGAAAATAAAGCCATGTTCTCAGGACTGGCACTGGGGGCCCTGCCTCACTTAGCTCCTGCCCAGCTTTCCAGTCTCCTGAGTCACTTTCACATGGCCTGCTGTTCCCCCTGCCCTTTCTTCCCATGTTTCTGGGGGCCATTAGCTCCAGGACAGCTGAGTCCTCCCCCAGCTCCCACCTGTCTCTACCCTGGTCATGCTATTGTCCAATGCTCAGCTCAAATGCAACTTTCACCTGCCACCCTTGGCCCCTCCCTTCTGAGAAACAATACCGAAAGCTCTTTTCTGGAGAAGCAAAGCAGTTTGGATTGGCTGCTAGAGGCAAGCTTTGAAAAGGTGACCTGGGTGCAGCTTGGGAAAACTTTGACAGCTCCACTCTGGAGATTTGCTGCAATCAAGTGGAATAAGCAGGAGAGTGATATAATCAGCGCTGGGCATTGGAAAGAAAAGCAGAGTGTAGTTTTTCTCACGATAAGTTCTTGGTATTCTGTAGGTGCTGCAAAGGCAGCACGGAGGAAGGGCAGCCTCTGACTGCCTGACCAGCTTAGATTTCAGAGGCCAGGTCAGAGAGTCCTCAAGTGTGCTCTCCAGTCTTCTTTGTCACTATCACTTGGGAGACTTGTTAAACATGGAGGTTCTACAGCCCAACCCAGATCTAAGCAATCAGACGGGAGGGAAGTATAGTCCCTGAGCAAGCATCACAAAAGATCTCGGGGTTATTAAACAGGCTGACTGTGGAGTCTGCTTTGGGCTCCGACGCAACACCCCCAGCCTGTAACTAGCTGACCAGCCCCTTGCCTCTGCCTCACCTGGGAACTGGTTAGGAAGGCAAGTTCATGGGCTCCAACCTGGAATGGATGAATCAGAATCTCCGTGGTGGGGCCCAGAATTTGTGAATTAACAAGCTCTCCGGGTGATACTCATGTACACGCAAGTTAGGGAACTGCTGCTCTCCCACATACAGAAGCCTCGGAGGGACCAGACTTGGACTCCAGATCACAAGACCCAGCAGGAGTGTGTAAGCCGTGCTGAGGGAAATGGGGGTGAAGTATGAGATGAGGACTTACAGATGCCAGGTGAGAAGAAGTAGTAGAAGATAAAGACACTTCTTTTAATTATTGCAGAGTCGGTGACTATTTGAAACGTCAAGGTATTGAGTGATGATTCAAATACAGGGACAAAGTCATTTTCACTGCAGACTTTCCCGAGCAGAGTCCCGGTGGTAGAGGGTCCATCAAAGACTTCAATGTTTTCACTTTCACAACTTCCGTCTGGATCAAGCCTGAGGACAGAAGACACCTGAGGCTGGAGAAGGGCCACTGCAAAGGGTTTCACAGAGTCATTGCTCACATGGGCATGGCAATCTACAAAGTGGCGGCACGTGAGTATTCACTGAAAGCTCTCCAAGACCAAGCCCCACCCCACCCTCCTCCACATCAAGCGGCTCACCCACCATCCACGGTGCGGGAAGGTGAGCTGCTTTGTCTCACGTCAAGTAAACGGTGGAGACGGGCCCAGAGTCCAGGATTTCTTTCCTTCTACCTCTTCCCATCTGTCCTGTTCCCTGTGCCCAAGTGATTCTTTGGAGTAGAACCCTCTTGTTTAGAATTGATCCCCATTGACACTTGGTGTCCCAGGCTGTTGGAAGGTGAAGACGTTTCTTCTCTCACAGCCACTTTCTTCCCCAGGGGAAGCAAACCTCAGCATGTCCTCACTGTCCCTCCCTTCCCCCTACCACCACTTCCTCACCATGTAGGACAGTCCCACGCCCTGCATTGGACAGAGCAGCCCAGGATTTTTGTTTTCTGCCCATCTGACAGGGTATCGCTGAATGACCTCAGAAAACATCCTTCCAACATAACTTAATTACACAGAAATCTGTGCTCCCCTTCCACCGTCACCACTTAGTGGTTGTGTAACTTTGGAGAAGTGACTGAACCTTTCTGGATGTGTTTTCTTTTCTGTAAAATGGGATGTCACAGCCTACTTATGTCTCTTGGGTGACATAATATTCTGAAGGTGTAGCACTTAGCACAGGCCTGGCACACAGCAAGTGTCCAGTGAATGTCACACGGGAACTTCCTTCCATAGTTGTTCTTTCCACACTTTGTTGTCTTTTCCCTCTCTTCTTGCACAACTAGAAGAGTGTATATTTCTTAATAACTCTACCATTCCAGGAAATTTGAAAGGATCCTTTCTCTTTGGGTTCTTTGAGGGCTGAAGGAAATTCCAACTTCAGTGGTATAGAGCCATGGCTTTCAAAGTGTGGTACCAGCAGCATCACATCACTGGCAAATGTGTTACCTATGCAAATGTTCAGGATCCCCCCCCCCCATCATCCAAATAAGACAATAGAGACTCTGAGGGTGGGGCCCAGCAATTGTGCTTCAGCAAGCCTTCCAGGTTCTCCTGGTACATGATCAAGACTGTGAACCCCTGGGACAGGGTAAGGGCCGGCTCTGTGGCCAGGTGACTGGGATTCAGTTCCTCCCCCACTTTTATTATTATGTGACATTGGACCTATTAAGTGACTTCTCTGGACTTTCTTATCTACTAAATTAGTATTTGATTGCATCTAATCCATGAGAATTGTTGAAAGGATTAACTGGGGCAGATATGAAATGCAGAGAGAGGTCGCCCTGTCCTCAGCTTGGCCCCTCTACTGGGATCACCTGGGCACTTACAAAAAACACTTGGGAATGTATGCTCACTTCAGAATTAAACTTTTACAATAAAGACTACTGATGCCTGGGTCCTACCCCAGAGACAGTGACCTAATTCTATGGGGTGCAGCCTGGGAACCTGAGTTTTTAGAAGTTCCCCTGCTGATTCTAATACATACCAAAGTTTAGAACCACAAATTTGGTGTTTTAAGGAAGAAAATCTGGAATTAGACTTACTAGGTAATAACCCTGGTCATGATACTCACTATCTGTGTGGCCTCAAAGAAGTTCTCAGTCTCGCTGTGTTGTAATATAGTCCTGACATCAGAAGACCTCTCTGAGCAACTACCAGGCACAGAGTCATCATCAGTGACCACCCACCACCACCAGCACTGCCGCCATCACCATCATGCTGGCTAGGAGGATCACGACCCCCTCTAGCAGTAGAATTCTTCCCACATGGAGCCCCCCCCCCGGCCCCCGCCCTGCCCAAAATGTGGCCAGAGAGTTCCACGGCCCTCATTAGGAAACAGAAGCTTCCACTTACTGGATGTGGGAAAAGATGATTCTGATGCTTTTGTTCTCTGGTCTTTCTACTGTCCAGGTGCAGTTCTCACTGGGATTAAGTTGCAGGATCAGGGCTTTGTGGTCCTCTGCCAGATTGGCCCCTCCCAGACTGGCGGTGCAGTTTGGTTTGCCTGGCAGAGACCACAGATAGCCCTCAGGAAAGTCAGAGGCCCCTACCGCTCCTCAGTGACTGAGTGTCCACTCTCCACAAGTAACATTCATGCCAGCATTCGGCTATCGTGGGTGTATTCAGCTCACTCCAAAGTAAGCCGTAAGCAATTGATTTCTCTTTCTTGGTGCCTTTTGGGGGGAAATCATTTATGATTTCTTTACATATAGCTTATAAAAGAGACTATATTAGGGCCCGAAGAAGGATGGTCTGTAAAGGATAGTTTATATCCAGAATGTATAAAAAAAATTGTTTTGGGGGAGGCGCCTGTGGCTCAAGGAGTAGGGTGCCAGCCCCATATACCAGAGGTGGTGGGTTCAAACCCTGCCCTGGCCCAAAAAAAATGTTTTGTTTTTTTTGAGACAGGGTCTCACTCTGTCACCTGGCTAGAATGCCATGACATCATAACTCACAAAAACCTAAACTCTTGGGCTCAAGTGACCCTTCTTGCCTTAGCCTCCCAAGTAGCTGAGACTACAAGTGCCCACCTGCTAGGTTTTCTATTTTTAGTAAAGATAGGGTCTCACTCCTGCTCAGGCTGGTATCAACCTCCTGAAATCAGGTGATCTATCTGTCTTCACCTCCCAGTAAAAAAATTCCTACAATTCAATAATTAAAAGACAAAGAACTCAATTAAAAATAGACAAAGGACCAGAACAGATATTTTTCCAAAGAAGATCTACAAATGGCCACTAAGCATATGAAGAGATACTCAGTGTCATTAACCATCACAGAAATGCAAATCCAACCCCCCCCAGATACCACTTAGCACCCATTAGAACAGCTAGGACAGTGGGTCTCAACCTTCCTAATGCCGCAGTGTATTTTCATTGTTAAAAATGGGTCACGACCCACAGGTTGAGAACCGATGAGCTAGAATCAAAACCAGAAAACCTTAAGTGTTGACAAGGATGTGGAGAAACTGGAATGATCATACAGTGCTCCTGGGATTGTGAAATGGTGTAGCTACTGTGCAAAAGAGTCTGGTAGCTCCTCAAAAGACTAGATATACAGTTAGAATAACCCAGCAGTTTAACCCCCAGGCACATCCCGCAAAGAAACGAAAACGAATATCCTCACAAAAACTTGTACACTAACGTTCATAGCAACATCACTCTTAATAGTCTAAACATAAACATTTTAAAGCACTTTAAATGTACACATCATAAAATTATAAAAATTTCAGATAGTTTCTTTTATTGTGGAGCAGAGGCATATTACAGATGAATATCCTTTTTTAGAAGTTACAAAAGGATGTTCCTTTGTACGGATTTACCATAACAAAATAAATGACGAAACTTTGTCATTTTTACAACTTTGTAAATGCATCTATTTCTTTGGATATTTTTATGATCTTTCACCACAAAGAAAAACTCTTATGGTAAAATTTGATGTGTTTTTTATATGTTTTTATGGACTGAATAAAATTAGTACTAATCCAAAATCTCACCAAGGGTATTAAATTTTCTCTGTATTGAGGTCAACCAATAGAAAAATTTGAAAAAAAATTTTAAAAAGCCCTTTGAGAGGAGCTTATTCCTCTATTGGTGGAGAAATCTGGTTCGATTTTCTTACCTTCATCCTCAGTCGACTTCACTTCTGTCAAACATGAGGCAGTTAAAAGAGTCAAAGGCATGAGCCATCTTACAACCTCCATCTTTGCAAGGGGCTAGGCAGCCCGTAAGGGCTAGGAGGCTTTTATAGTCTCTGTGACTCGTAACTATCTAGTTCATAGGCTCCCCAGAGACCTCCAGGAAAATGCGTCATTTCCAGCCACTCATGTGGGAATATAGCAGCTGTGTGACTGGCTCTTATCAGCAATCCCCAGTGTTCACTCTGCCCAACTCATTCCTGGAAGGTCTACAGCCAGTGAAAGCTCGTCATGGGGATCTGCAGCAGCTGGCATCCAGCAGGCACTGAGATTCCTTGTGGGACTGACCTGGGGCTGTGCCTTGGCCCTGTTCCTTCAGATGCCAACAGGGGGGCATCCTTGACATTTGAAGCCTTCACTGCTCTGCTCCAAGAAAGGCAGGCTGTGGGGGCCAAAGGATCAAGAAGGGGTGCGACACCTCGGCAAATTCTGGATCAAACTGGGTCAGATGTCCTGCCAGGGAGCTGATCCTAAAGGGAGGAGGGGCGAAATTGGATAAGAAGGAAAAAGAAGGTGCAGGTCCAGGTTACCCTGCAGGGATTTCTACTGGGTTATGTCTAGAAAGGCTGGAGCAGGTGGATTAGTCCATTGGGCACTGTGTTTTATAGTCAAGAGAAAGGAATCCTGGTGTCTGTGATGAGACTAGGACATGGGTAAAGAATCTTTTGTGTTGGAAGGATTCATTAATTTACCTGTAAACAACTAAAATGCCACCTTCAAAAAACTTGAATCAGATATACTTTTAAAAGGACATTATTTTTATTTTGAAAAAATCCAACTACTGTGTATTTAATAATTTCAAAAATGAAAACTATCTGTTAATTTTAAAGTTAACCTTTTCATAACTTTGAATATTTGGTTGCAGCACAGAGGTCCCCACTTTCAGCTGAGCCTCTAGATGGGTGTCAGTCATTCGTGACCTTATGGCTATCTTGACTTGGGTTAGGGAGGAGAATGTAGATTCGTAACAAAAAGTGGTTGAAAAACAAGAAAGTATTTTTCAGCTTTGCTGAAGGCACAGGTATTTTTCCATATTTCAACTGGATCGTTCTCAGCATCAAAGAATGACTTTAAAATGTCATCTACTGAGAGCTCAATCAATTGCATCTGTAGTTCTTTAGGTGCCTTGGTGATATCAACTAGGTGAAAATGAAATGCTAATTTGAGTGTGATGTCATGATTCTCAAAGTCAATGAACCTGTCATTGTATTCCCCAGTTAATAGGTCTAGAACATGGCAGAGCCTGTGCTCAGTGGGTAGGGTGCCAGCCCCATATACAAAGGGTGACAGATTCAAACCCAGCCCCAGCCAAACTGCAACAAAAAAATAGCCAGGCATTGTGGCAGGTCCCTGTAGTCCCAGCTACTGGGCAAGAGAATCACCTAAGCCCAAGAGCTGGAGGTTACTGTGGGCAGTAATGATATGGCATTCTACTGAGGGCAATAAAGTGAGACTCTGTCTCTAAAAAAAAAAAGGTTTAGAACAACTGTGTATTGTTCAGTTGATCCTGCTTATCAATGACCTTTGCTAACTGAAGAAAATGTTCATCCAAAAGTTCCTTTTGAAGAAGTATATATGATATGCTTTTTTGCTGCATATCATATATAGACTTAGTTTTACCAAGATATTCAAAGAAATATGCAAAGAAATATTTAATTTGACATGATATCACACAGAAATGCTGCATTCCTATAGAAATCTTCTTTCAATAATTCACATTGCTGATTCTGTTCTTCATAAAATTTAACTATCTGTTCTTGCAGAGATAAAATCCTAGCACTCTGGGAGACTGAGGTGGGAGGATCTTTTGAGATCAGAACTCATGACTGGCCTGAGCAAGAGTGAAATCTGTCTCTACTAAAAAGAGAAAATTAGCCACTCAGTGTGATGAGTGCTTGTAGTCCCAGCTACTTAGGAGACTGAGGCAGGACGGTGGCTTCAACCCTGGAGTCTGAGATTGCTGTGAGCTAGGCTGATGCCTTGGCACTCTAGCCTGGGCAACAGAGTGAGACTCTGTCTAAAAAAAAAAAAATTGTGCTGGAACAATTGGATATCCATAGGCTATGGATATCCTATGACAGGAACCTCACATCTAATATTAAAAAATATATACTCAAGTGGATCATAGATTTAAATGGCTTTTTAGATAGAAAACATTTAGATGGAAACATAGGAAAACATGTTTAACAACTAGGAATTGGAGAAAATTACTTCAACATAATGCAAAAGCACGATACATAAAATAAAATCAGTAAATTTGACTTCATCAAAGATAAGAAGTTTTGCTCTCGGAAAGATCTTGTTAAGAGGATGAAAACACAAGCCACAGACTGAGAGAAAGCACTTGCTAATCAAATACCCGACAAATGCTCATACCTAGACTATATTAAGAAGTCTCAAAACTCCACAGTTTAAAAATCCATTTAGAAAATGTGCAAGACGGGATATTTCACCAAAGCAGATATACAAACAGCATATGGACACAAAAGGACATTAAGACCACCACAAGACACCACAATACACCTATTCAAACAGCTAAAACAAAAGTGATTTGGTAGGGCCAGTACGGTGACTCACGCCTGCAATCCTGGCACTCTGGGAGGCCAGGGAGGGTAGACTGCTTGAGCTCAGGAGTTTGAGACCAGCCTGAGCAAAACCTCCCATCTCTACTAAAATAATAATAATATACATACATATAAAACATTGTTTGTAAATAATATAAAATATAATTTTTTTAGGTAAAAATGAGATGTGATGCTTGGCATGTGCAAAATTGGGGCCGTTCATTTTGTGATCTGTCACATTACAACAGTAGGTAGGAAAGTGAATATCAGAACTGGCCTTTTCCTTGTTAGGGTTATTATTTGGGATTTAGTGTTTGGTGTACAATGGGAGAAGTCTTATTTTATCTCATATCCAGAAAATATAAGCAAGTGTCTCCTTTTTTGAGCTGATATAGACTCTTCCTTCCAAGCCCTTTCCTGGTATGTTTAAATTGTGAAACGTTGAGGCTGAAGGAGGAAGGCATGAGAATCAACAAGATTGCAGTGCCCTCTGGCAGACATAGTTTTCAGAAATTATAACTATTGTGTATGTGTTGAAGGGTGATATATTTGTATTTAAAAAACAAAGGCATCCACAGTGGAGACTACTTGTCTGAAATAAATGAAAATATTTTATGTTCGTCTAGTGTTTGTTAAAATGTTTACTTTTATGAAAAAGGATGTTTTACACTCATTTAATATTTTGAGAAATTTATCTCTTTAACATGAGAACATATGCGTTCATTCATTTCTGAATCTCATTCTGATCTCACGACACGAGGACCTGTACCTCACTTTATCAGACTTTTCTTCATGTATTCATAGCAGATAGCCCGGGGGTAGCACATCGTTCTGCATTCAGGAAAAATGTGTCTCAGTTAAGGTTGAACTCTTTAGTTTCCAATAGCTGTGGTTTGCTTTTTATTCACAAAATGCTTCAGTATAGCTATAGCTAGAAAACACAAGCTATATTTTATAAAGTGATTAAATATTCATGATTACAGTGCTTGAAATAATTCAGATGAACTTTAATTAATGATCTTCAGTTTCTTACATTTTTCTCAGTTAAGACCTAAGTTTCATTTTATATATATTAGAAATTTATAGGTATTGATTCTCTCATATTTATATCATTGCTATATAATATACGATTTGAATGTAATTGCTTTATTAAAATTATTATTAGTCTTAAGAAAACATTACCTAAATTTGCTCAACCAGAAGTGGACCACAGCACTTATAATGTCTCTATTTAGCCTTTTTAAAAAATAATTTTTCCCTATTTGTATGTGCCACACTCAATGAGCCAAGTCTGGATGCCGGGAGGTAAGGGCTAACAAACGCACCTTCAGAGGTAACGAGGTAAATACCGCAGTTAGAAGTGGCTACAAGGTAGGTGTGGGTGATGGAGAGATGAAATCAAGATTTTTTTTTTTTTTTGAGACAGAGTCTCACACTGGGTAGAGTCCTGTGGTATCACAGGTCACAGCAACCTCAAGCAATCCTCCTGCCTCAGCCTCCCAAGTAACTGAGACTACAGGTGCCCACCACAACCCCTGGCTAATTTTTTCTATTTTTAGTAGAGATGGGGGGTCTCACTCTTGCTCAGGCTGCTCTTGAACTTCTGAGTTCAGGTGATCCACCAGCCTCGGCCTCCCAGAGTGGTAGGATCACAGGTGAAAGCCGTGCCCCGCCCCCGGCCAGGTTATGATTATAAACTCCATATTGTCCCCCCTGTTATTCCACGTTCCCTTTTCCTGTGAGTGGCATTTTGAGGTTTTATTCCTCTTCCATGGCTGGATTTTCTGTTCATTAAATGCAAGCCAGCAGCTGAGTTTGCATGCTGCCACCACATGACTCATCTTAAAAGCGTGGCTGAGGGGATCTGTCCCAAGTATAAAGGCTGTGACTTGAGGCTCTTTCTCACTTAGTTCCAGCCCAGCTTCACAGTCACATTAGCCACTGCCATGTGGCCTGCTGTTCCCCACCTCCTCCTTTCTTCCTTAGATAAACATGGAGGTTAACAGCTCAACACAGAACTAAGCAATCAGGCCAGAGGGAGGTATAGTCCCTGAACAGGCATCACAAAAGATCTCAGGGTTATTATTAAACAGGCTGACTGTGGAGTTTCTGCTCTGGGCTCCAACACAAAACCCCCAGCCATAGCCAGCCAGTCAGCCCCCTGCCTCTGCCTCACCTGGGAGTTGGTTAGGAAGGCAAGTTCACGGGCTCCACCCTGGAACCCAGTGAATCAGAATCTACATGGTGAGGCCCAGAATTTGTGAGCTAACAAGCTCACAAATAGCTCACAGGATACCTATGCAAACTTAAGTCAGAGAAACATTGCCCTATTAAATGCGTAAGTCTCTAAAGCAGTGATTTTCAACCAGTGTGCCATGAGAGGATCTTCAGCAATCTGCCAAATTTTTTAAATATCATTACCTTATTTTTGAAAGAAGTTTAAAGCACAGTAAGTATATTCTTTTTTTTTTTTTTACTGTTTTTGATCAACATAATTTAAGTATGCTGCAGAAATTTAACTATAGTTTCAAGGGCGCCAGGAAATAAAAAATGTTGAAAAACACTGCTCTAAAGGAAGAGACTCAGACTCAAATTTAAAATCGCAGGGCAAGTGTCTCTGTAAGCTGTGTGTACAGGACGTGCTCCTGAAAGTTTCTGTTTGAATGAGAATTATGGGGTCCAGAAGAAAAGGAGTAGGGGGAGATAAAGGGAACTCTTTGACTTTTTGAGGAATCTGAACTCTAGAGACATGAACCGAAATGATGATTGAGATGGAATGTTTTCAGATGAAACCCACTCAGATAGCATGCAGGCATGTTACCGCAGACTTTCTCTAGCAGAGAGACCCGCTCAAAGAGGTTCCATCAAAAACCTGTTTTCACTTTCACACTTTCCACCTGGATCCAGCCTGTGGGCAGAATACACCTGTGGCTGGAGAAGAGTTAATTGTGTTCTTGGCAATGCAGAAGATTTTTAGTTTAATCCGATCCCAGTAATGTATTTTTTGTATTGTATAAAAAAAAAGTCAGCACATTGTACTTCACATATGCATGAAAATATTCATGATCTATGTGAAAATAAATAAATCACCAGTGAAATAGAAAAAAAAAGTTAACTGTTCATCTTGGCATTGCAATTTACAAAATAATGACACATAGGCCCTTACAGAAACCTCTGAAAAATGAAAGACTAACAGCTGCCTCCGCCAACATTTTCAAACCCTGCAGCATGCCTTATCCCTTCACTCGAGAAAAGCAGCATCAGGCTCAGGGAAGTGACCTGCCGTGTCAAAGTCTACTATCAGTAAATACTGAAGATGGCCCTGAAATCCAGGAGACCTTTCCTCTCCCTAACTCCGCCTCTCCTGTTCCCTCAGCTCCCATGAATTTCGATGTGGAAACTTTTCATTTAGACTCAGTTCCCTTTCACATTTGAAATCCATTGAAAATGAAGCAATTCTTCTTCCACACCTTCTCAGGGGGTAAAGCAAACATTACCATCTTCCTCCTTGCCCTGTCCCTTCCCCATGGCCCTCCTTCCTCATTGTGAGGGACAATCCCATTCCCTACTTTGGACAAGGCAGCCTGGAATGTTCATTTTCTGCCCATTTTAACATTGTTTCTTTAAACGGAGTCAGAGGACACATGTGCAAGATGGCTTAGATTGGAGGAAAAAAACACAAGGCAGAGAAACCTGAGTTCTCCTTCCAGTTTTCTCTTTTCTTTTTCTTTTTTTTTTTTTTTTTTTTTTTTGAGACACAGAGTCTCATTCTGTCACCCCAGGTGGAGCAGTGTTTTAACTCACAGCAACCTCAAACTCTTGGACTTGAGCAATCCTCTTGCCGCATCCTCCTGAGCAGCTGGGACTACAGACATGTGCCACTATGCCTGGCTAGTTTTTCTCTTTTTAGTAGAGATGGGGTCTTGTTTGTTCTCAGGCTGGTCTCAAACTACTGAGCTCAAGGGTTCCACCCCCCTCAGCCTCCCAGGCTGCTAGGATTACAGGCGAGAGCCAACATGCCCAGCCTCTCCTTTCATATTTAAATTTTTTATTAGTATTCATTCTGCTTAAGGTTTAGCATGCCAGGTCCTGGCTTACTTTTGTGGGATGAGGTTCCAATGGCAGTTTAAGTTTTAGAGGTTGTGTGGTTCTAGTTTGGTCCACTTAGCTTATCTGGGGCTACGGGGGCTCCCAGGTACCCGACAGTGCTGACTGAGGGGCAGGGGACGGTTCCCCAGACTGAAGCCACCTGGAGTCTCTAGATGGGAAAAGAACATCTCTAGCCCACAGGGACAAAGTGCTTCCTAGGCTAGGTCACTGTGTATGGTGGGGTCCCCTGTACGGTCACAGGAGAGCAGTCTCAGAACCAGCGAAACAGAAGAACACTTTAAGCCGGCAGGGAACCCAAGCCACCCTGTGACGCCACTGGGCTAGCCTGGGCTGGTCCACAGGACTCACATTAAATCCAGGGGAGGAATGAGCTAGATTGAGAGTGGGAAACACCAGGCCTGGCCACCTTCTCTGCTCTGCCTCTATGATGATCATCCAGATCTCGGGTTTCTCACCAGTTTCCTTTCTTCTTTCCAGCTTTCAGAGTTCTTCTTTTGCTCGACTGTTGTGTTATTTCCAGAGATTATACTTATACCTGGCAGAGAGAAGCAGGGAGAAACAAGTCTACACAATCTTTTCTGCAGCTGGAGTCTCATTTAGTTTTACTACATTTGCCGGGTCTGAGTAACTTAGTCATACAGACCTGACTAGCACAGATATCCTGTGCAACTTTCATTTTTGTAACTCTTTTAACTATAACGAGTAAAAATCTTCCCCTGTCAATGGATGTGTGTTCGAGTCCCAGTAAATGGCTCCATGTTAGTTCATTGTGTAACTAAAACAGGAAGTCTAACCCGTCTTCTATAATCAATTTTTTAAGCATGAAGATATTTAAGTGTAATGCCTCCCCCCATTTGTCTTTCTTTTCTTTTCTTGTTTTTGAGACAGAGTTTCACTTTGTTGCCCTCGGTAGAGTGCTATGGCATCATAGCTCACGGCACCCTCAAACTCTTGGGTTCACAAGCGATTCTCTTGCCTCAGCCTCACAAGTAGCTGGGACTACAGGCACCCACCACAATGCTGGCTATTTTTCAGAATGAGGTCTTGCTCTTGCTCAGGCTGGTCTCAAACTCCTGAGCTCCGGCAATCCACCTGCCTTGGCCTCCCAGAGTGCTGGGATTATAGGCATGAACCATTGCACCCAGCCTGTCTTTTTCTTTTAAGGTAGAACCTCCATAGTTGACTACCTCCCTACATGAACCACCTCCTTAAGCTGACCTTTCATAGACCAGACATGACCACACGTACTCAACATACAGCAACTTACTTCCTTATGTTGACCACCTCTGTATGTCGACCAGTTTGGTATAGTCCATTGGGTGGTCAACTGACAGAGGTTCTACAGTATTTATCAGATCAAAATCTTAATTAAACTTGCTTTTGATTAGCAATAAAAACCTGAAGAATAATGAAAGGGAAATAAGACCTGACAAGATAAAAGATTTAGAATTAAGTGATTCAAAATAGCACTTATATTTCATAGAAGCCGCAATATACCTCAACATGGAACAGAATTCAGAACTCTGTGAAAGAGAGCTGGTGTCCAGAGGGTTGATGTCACACAGCCTGTGGCATAAAAGATGGAGCTAGTCCGTTCTACTAGCTCTGGCTGGACGGAGACTGCGCTTCCAAAAGCGATCTTTTCAACCTCAGATCTTAATTATTCCTAACAGGGATAATTAGATTCCACTTTCTCAGATTACAGGTTTGATAAATTTCTGATTAAATATCTTGTTCCCTAATGTTTTTTATTTATTTTTTTACAGTTGACCTTCATCTAACTCTGAATGTTTTCTCTGTACTTAAGTAGTGTGCTTAGTGGTCAGAATGTTTATTCTCCTTTCCTGGGGCTCACTGTTCCCCAATTTCAAACTGAGATTAAGCAAATTGCTTATTCCAGACAAATCGGACTTCCTGGGAGGCTTTAATAGTTAGGAGGAAAAATGGGGAAGGAAAGTCTGTGGTCTACTAGACAGACAGTGGGGTAAACAGGCTCCTGAAGAAGCTGGTTCCTGGTCTGTGCAGGGCATGACTCATCTCATAAGGCCTGGGCAAGGGTTTGGCTGGAAGCTTCTAGAGCAGTGATTTTCTTTTATTTTTTCTTGAGACAGAGTCTTACTATGTTGCCCTCAGTATGAGTGTCATGGTGTCACATCTCGCAGCAACCTCAAACTCTTGGGCTTAAGCAATTCTCTCTTGCCTCAGCCCCCCAAGTGGCTGGGACTACAGGCACCTGCCACAACACCTGGCTTTTTTTTGTTGTAGTTGTTATTGTTGGTTAGCAGGCCCGGGCAAGTTCAAACGCACCTGCCTTGGTGTATGTGGCAGCGTCCTAACCACTGAGCTATGGGCGCTAGCCGACAGCAGTGCTTTTCAACTGGTGTGCCACAGCACACCCGTATGCTGATAGGATCTTAAATGTGCCGCAAAAATTTTTAAAGATCATAAAAGTTCAAACCACAGGAAGTATATTCTTTTTCTTTTTTATCAACATATTTTAAGTGTGCTGTGGAAGTTTAACTATAGGTTCAAATGTGCTATGAGATTAAAAAAAAAGCTTGAAAAACACTGGTCTAGTGTCTCCTTTAACCCCGAGATACCATGATCCAATTATCAGTGGAAGAAATATAAAGGTTTTTTTCCTAACATGTTATATACAAAATGGGTTTGTATAATCTCCATATTGCTGGACAATAACATTTTGGAGAAACTTAATTCCCTTAGTTTCATAAAATATTAAACCTTGTGTACAATGAGAGCTGAATACTGACTTGATTGAGTGAACACATTTCGGGAGGCTCAGGGTTTGAGAGCAAGATGATGTCCAGTGCAGACCTGTTTGTTGCTTACAGCTGCACATTACAGCATGTGAAAGTGAGGATTCTTCCCAGTGTATTTCTGATTCTTTCTCTCCAGAGTTGCATTTCGTCCTTTTTCATAGACAAATATACCCTTTTACCCACTCATAGTCTAGCCAAGGCTCCTGGGCCTCTCAGGGAAGATTCGCTTGTGGTTTATACTCATAAGATCTGTGTTTGGCATTCATTCTTCTTCCACTGCAGGAAATATTGGGGATTGCTAAGGGCTGTGTGGGGAGAGAGACACATTTAGCATCTCTGCACTTCTCTGCCTAGGTGTGCCAAAGATGTTTGATCTCAGGACGAAGATTATGATCGGCATTGGCATCAGCTTACTGATTGCCACGTTTGTGCTCATAGGCATCGTTTGCTGTCTTTACATCAAATTATCCAGAGCACTAAGGTAAGTTATGGGGGCAAGACTGGACAACAGCTCTTAAGTGGGATGGATGGGCTCCCTGCCCAGCAGGTCCTTCCTGCTGCTGTGGCCACACTGGGGCGCGGTCAGGATTAACAGGCAGCTTTGAAAAGGCTGGTGTAGAATCTTATTTTTTTCCTTATGGGTTGGGTTTGTGAGCCAGTGAGTAGAATGCTCTCCACCTAGGGCTGTGTGCCAGTGCTGCTTGGCTGTCACTGGGCCTCGCTGAGCTCACTGCCTGGTGTGTAAGACAGCATCCTGGCTGGGCCTCCCTCTGTGAGGAGCACTGTAGACGGAAGGCTGCAGGGCAGGCTGCATGCTGAACCTCTGCCTGGACCTGAGCTCCTCCTACCTGCACTGGGAGCTCTCAGGGTGTCCCCTCAGTTATTCCCAGTGGCCTGGGGACAGTGAGGTGGGCCTCCAAGACCCTGAGACTGCCAAGCTGTGTTGACAAGGGGGCATAGGTGAGACAAGAGATAATCACAGTTTGGGGAAAAGACCCTACAAGTATGGAAGAGACTTACTGTCAGAAGCAGTTGTGTCTCCTCCGTTCTAGGGAGTTGGATGTCACATCCCAGAGCTGCACAGCTCAGTGATCCTCGCTTGCAATTCACTTTCCTTTACTTTTGTTACCTGACTCTGCATTTATAGCAATCTGAGGAAGGAACTTTGGGTGGAGGCGGGAGCTTTAATATAGTGCTGGTGTCACAGGTCTGATTGGCTCCAATCCTAAACGTCCCAGATACCCCTGACAATTGTCACACAGGGACTGAGAAGGAAAATTCTAATCCTGTGCTTTGTATGTCTTTTCTTAAGATGTGCAAGGGATCTTGATATTTTAAGATGTTGTAATCTAGCCAAGTTGTGCTGGAACAACAAAGCCGCCGCCACCGGGTCTTGTGCCGCACTCCAGTGCTGTGACGGATGTAGAATGTATGCAGATTATGACTCCCTGCCACCTTGCTGCTGTGACACAAATGAGGGACTCTGATGTGGGAAAAGTGGGCACAAAAATCTTCATGAGAAATATTTCTTAGTGGAATGTTTTATTATTCAAATCAAGTTCTAGTGTGTTTGCATTATATAATGAACAATGTTATTTTATATACTTTTGAATAAACATGCAACACGGAAAATCATCCTCTCTGCCTCAAGTGTTTCTTTTGTTGGTTATAAACATCTCTTCTATTAACCCCTCTGGGGCTTGGGATAACTAGTTTGTAATATTACACTGCACCAGAAGGAGCCTTAGAGTAGAAGATAAAAGCCTGGGGCGAGGCTCCCACACCAGAAGAGAGATGTACTCGAGTCTCCGGGCATTTCCGGTCTCAGCCTCGGCTGATCTTGCCCAGCTGCAGCAGCTGGCTGGGCTCCTCTTCTCAGGGCTTTGGTGATCATGTTCAGCCTCCACTTGGAGACTCCATTCATCCAAAGAAAAAGTAACGAAAGCCAGGTGGGGCTTCCATGGGTTAGAGCTGTCTGACCTGTGTGCAGATGGGCTTGAGCTCAGTGGCCTCCAAAGTACTTCGAAAACCCATGTTCCTCCCAGGTAGAGCACAGAGGACTGTTCCCATATGCTGGTGACAACGAGTCTCTTCCATACTTGAAGGACTTTTCCCAAACCTGTGATCATCTCTTTGCCATCCCCCAAACCTCCAGAGCAGGCTGCTGCTTCTGTGGATCCCTGAACACTGGTTTGTGCTGATCCAGCCAGCCATGTCTTCAGCTGTAACAGGAAGCTCCAGCGGAAGGCCAGAGCCCAGACTCCCTGGACAACAGCAAGAAAGGAAGGAAACTCTATCCAAGGAATGCACATTGCCTTGAGTTTTCAGGCCCAGAGAGGCACTGAAATGCAATAGCAGTCTTGTCTCACTCCCCCCACAGGGGCTATCATTAGTTCTTGGAGCCACTTGCTAAGTGCACCCTACACTGATGCCACGTAACCATAAACGCCACACACGCAGGACACCGTAACTCATAGCTCCCCTTTCTTTTCAGGGAAGGTCTTGCCTTTATTAGGACTATTCTTTCCAGTTTTCTCTTTTTAGAAGAGAGATTTTGTTTTTGCCTTGGGGGAGATTTAAGTTTCAGGACCAAAAAAAGGAAAACTACCTTTTCTGCCTGTGTCTTGGGGCAGAAACCCAGGTCAAAGTATCGACAATTTGGTTCCTGTGATTTCACTCTACACAGCAGGCTTTAAAAATTATAGCTACTTCCTACTGTTTGAAATTTGGTCTTCGATTTTTATTTGTGACCAATTACTGTTTTAAGCTGAGAGGTGCATGAAAATGAGTCCTTTAACCCAGAAGTTAAGAGACAGATTTTTTTCCTTTTTATGTGAGCTTCCCCCAAAAAACCCTTTAAAAGCCCAAACTGTCTGCGGACCTTCCTCACTCAGTCAGAGATGTAAATTCTAACATGTCTTTTAAGTGTTAACATCCAGAGAATTAGGAATCAACATTCCAGGTAAGGTGATATTTGAAACAGCTAGAGTTTTTTAGACCATGCCAAAATTCCTTTCCTCGGTGGAGACCTTTGCCTCAGAAGAGAAACAGTTATAAGGAATTAATTTATTTTATTTGTATGATTCGACCTTTCTTTGTAATCCTTTTGTGATCCTTGTTCCGAAAGAGATCAAAATATTCCTTTCTGAAGTACTGGGTGTTACGGACCTGAAGGTTAAAATGCATGGGACGCTTTCCCCCTTCCCCTGCTTGCCGACCAATTTCCCCCCAACTACAGACCTTTTTACAATGTTTGCTTACCACCTCCGCAAAGGCGGAGTCAGAGAATCTAGGAGCTGACTTTGCTTTTCCTCTAAATTTACCTTCCCTCCTTTTGGCCCTACTGCCAGGGACAGCTTCAGTTTCTGTTTTATTGCCTGACTCTTTAAATCTTCCAGCTGGACTTGAGGTGTACATGGCCAGCTGAGAGGCTGAGACCCTCGCTGGGGAACAAACTCTTGAGATTATAATATTGTAGGACGGGTGCAGTGGCTCCCGCTTGTCATTCTAGCACTCTGGGAGGCCAAAGTGGGTGGATTGACTAAGCACAGGAGTTCGAGACCAGCCTGAGCTAGAGCAAGACCCCATCTCTAAAAATAGCCAGGTGTTGTGGAAGGTACCTATAGTCCCAGCTACTCTGGAGCCTGAGGCAAGAGGATCTCTTGAACCATGAGTTTGAGGTTGCTGTGAGCTATGACACCATGGCACTACTGAGGGCAATAAAAACAGTCTGAAAAACTACAAAAAAAGATAACATTCTGGAAATGGCAAAACTATGGAGATAGGAAAGAGATCAGTGGTCGCCAGGGGTTTGAGGGGTTGAAAGTATGAGCAGGTACAGCACAGAGGACTGTGAGGGCAGTGAGACCGTTCTGTATGTAGCAACCTCATGCTGCTATAACAGTGAAGCTTGTCATTACACATCTGTCCAAACGCACAGACCGTACACCACCAGGAATGAACTTAATGTAAACTACGGATTTCAGATGATGATAATATCACGGTAGGTTCATCAACTATAATAAACCCACTACTCTGGTGGGGGATATTGATAGTGAAACTGCCTATTTTGTAATTACGTAAGGCTAGTAAGGCAGGAACTTTTGAAAAAGTCTGATTTTCACAGACGTACAGACATAGCTAAAAGTTAACCAGCCATTGTTTCCTAACTAGCTTTCCTGTAACTACTTACTGTTTAAACTGCTTACTGCTTAAATGTCATGAATCCTTAACAGATATAAGATCTGTGACTTTCCCAATGACGTCTACAGAATAACATCACTAATGTGAAAGCTAAATCTTCCAGACTCCTCAGGAGAAACCAACTGATGTCAACCAGACCAGTGGCCATGCAGGGGAGCTGACCCAACAGGTCCTGCTATCCTCTAGCCAAGAACCATCTCAGCCAAGAAGACAATTTCTGCCTCCCAGCCCTCTCAGTTTCTCTCCATGCAATCAGCAGACCCAATTCCCCAGCTCTTTGTTCCCCAAATTACCTGTAAAAACCTTAGCCCAGAAGTCAGAGGAGATGGATTTGAGAAATCTCTCCCATCTCCTTACTTAGTGCCTTACAATGTTAAACTTTTTCTAAAACTCCTGTTGTCTCAGGTTGTCTTCCTCCTGAGCATCAGGCAAGAACCCAGCAGTGGAGAGGTTTGTGCATTTGTGGGGTAGGGAGCTACACGAAACCCCTGTACCTTCCTCACAATGTTGCTATGGCCCTAAAAGTGCTCTTTAAAAAAAATCTAATAAAAAAAGAAAATAAATAAATTCAAAAACTTTTATAAACACATTCACTATGAAGGCTTGCATGATACACTTCTATTTATACGTTTAAAAATAGATGAACATTTGTGAATGAATGTCATAGAAACATCGCACATAGTAACATACCGTTTCCCAATTTCAAAGGAGGAATTTTTGATAACTATGAAAAATACTGACCCTTAATAAATGACCCTGCATAGTTCCTTGATTACAGTACTTTAATTTTACAAGTTTTCTACTTCACTTTAGGGAGTCAAGCTAAATCAGCATTTGAATCAAAAATATATTTTGGTATATTTTGTCTTTGATTTTTAACATAAATACTAAGCTAACTCAAATAATCATTCTATGTTGTGCTAGCATTGTTCTAAATATTAACAAATGTGTAAAACTCAGAGTATATAGGGAAATCATAAATTTATCAAATTTCATATTACTAAGCATTACTTTTTAAAATGATTGTGACTTCTGTCCCAATCACAATATTTCTTCATCAAATGCATGCAGAAGGAACCAGGCCTGTCTGTATCTTTCTTCATTCACGGTTCTTGCTCTAAATGCAGTGATTGCAGCTACATCACAGTGAGACATTGTGTGAATCAATGAAGAGATCACAAATACCAGAAAGTGCAGGACTATTAACTCACAGGTTCAGCCGTGAGACAGATTCTCCTCAATGACGAAGAAAACACTATATACCTCTTACAACTGTTGCATAAATGATGGCCCACAAAGCACTAGCAAAGGGACATGCAAACCCTGCACTCACTATGGGCCAGACTGTGTTCTATACACCATGTCACCTTTATAACACAATAAAAACGGACAAATAGTGTATAAATTACTCCTCCTTTTAAAGAACAAATTTGTTAAAAACATTAAATGAGATATCCCTTTTCTTAAAAATAAAACATCTTATGCAAAGATTAGTTGAAATAAGATAGTTCTATTAAGACAAGTAGCTTCTAGAGTGGATGCCTTTATTTTTATATGCAAATATATCACCTTCAACAAATATGCAATAGTTATAAGATATGAAAATTAAGTCTGCCAGAGAGAACTGCAACCTCTCAATTCATCTGCCTTAATCCTTCCATGCAGAGCCTTGGCATTTCACACGCTACACTTGGCAGAAAAGGACTATGTGGGAGAACTGTATGTACCAATTGTTCAAAAAGAGAGACTTCCTTATACTCTCCAGGATTACAGAGGCCAAATGAGATGACTGCTCTTGTTTTACACAAAACACCAAATCCAAAGTACTAATCCTAACAAGGAATAGGCTGACGCTGATTGTTACTTTCCTATCTACAGCTATGCTGTAATGAAACAATCTTAACAGCCCCTGTGTCAACCAATTTTATAAATGCCAAATATCACATAGTACCCATTATCTCAGATAAATAATACAAAATGTAAATTGGCGATCTACATTAAAGGTTCCAAATCTGAAGTACCCAATTTTCTGAGATAATTAGGGAAAAAAAAATTAATTACTCTAAGGATAATTTTTCACATTGCTAAACTATGTATTAAAGTCCTTGAATAAATAAAAGTCACTTCAAACACATATACAATACAAACTAATGAATACATTAGAAATTCTTGAACATTTTAAACACTTGAGAGAGAGAAAAATATTACTAGTGAAAATAACTTATGACGGCATCATATTAACTTTTAGTATACAGTACTGGATTTACAAGAAAAAGTGTAGTAAAAATTAACACTGAGGTCACCTTATGTATGTTAAGATTACAATCCTTCAAAGGACATTCAATCCTTGCTTTTCATAAGCATTTTTGGGTTTTGGCTTTATAATAAATATGTAATAAATATCTGTAGTACATTGTATATGTAAAGCGCTTATCTTTCTCCATTTGAAAGTCTTTCTCCAGAGTCATAATGTCTTAGTGGTATCCCAGTGGGCGGGGAGCTGGGATTTTGCAGCAAATCCATTAATAAAGCAATCTTATCATCTATGTGCTCCTGGAGTTTACATATTCGCTGATCAATGTAGTCCACAAGTTTCTTTTCCATCAGTTCCATATTTTTAGAAAGAATCTTTTCCAAGTAGGAACAAACAGGTTGCTCTTCCATTCTAAAAACCAATTAAAACAAATGCATCAATCTTTCCTAATATAACAAAATAACCAAGTTTACAACAAGCAGCCAACATACACGGCTGAAATTTGTTTAACTGTACTGTATCCTTACAATGGGCTCCCAGGTTCCAATGTAAGTAAAAGACAGATGACCATAGTCCTGAATGCCCAACACATTCTTAAATTCTTTTATTAAGTATATAATTGAAATGGAAATATAGAAAAGATGAACCCTTAAAGAACAATCCTTTAGAAAGGGCCTTTTTGATATTGAGGTCCAAATCAAAACTGTTCTTGCCCAATTTTTTATAACGTCAACATGTTGGGCCAGGTATGGTGGATCACACCTGTAAATCCTAGCACTCTGGAAGGCCACGGCAGGTGGAATGCCTGAGCTCACAGGTTCAAGATCAGTCTGAGCCAGAGCAAGACCCCACCTCTAAAAATAGCCAGGCATTGTGGCAGGTTCCTGTAGTCCCAGCTACTTGGGAGGCTAAGGTAAGAGGAGCTCTTGAGCGCAAGAGTTTGAAGTTGCTGTGATCTATGAAGCCACAGCACTCTACTGAGGGCAACAAAGTGAGACTCATCTTAAAAAAAAAAGAGTCAACATGTACATTTTCCAAGTACTTCCCCCAAGCAAGTCTTTAATTTAAAACATTTTTTCTTCTTTCATACAAACAGCCTTACCAAAAGTACCTGAAGATTTCCTAAGCTGATACACAAAACACTTAAAAATTTAATTGGAATGAGTAAATTAATAATAAATAAAAAGCACACCAGTTCCTAACAGTCACAATGGACACTTAGTACAGTGAATCTCAGAGTGTGGTCCACAAAACTCTAGGGTCTCCTTGATCCTTTCAGGGATTAATTCAGTGAGGTCAAAAGTTACTTTTATACTAAGATGTTATTTGACTTTTTCATCCTCTTATTCTCATGATTATATACTGCCATTTTCCAGGGCTACAAAATGTATCATGTCATTGCTCTGATGACTAATAAAATTTGCAGTTGTGTATTCTTTGCTAAAGTTTCTTAATAGGCTAACCCAGTTTCCTCTCAGTATTGCTACTATGCTCTAACCAGCTGCGTTGATTGTACATGCCATAACGCAACATATATGACAATGCAGCAAAAGCTAAACCATAAAGATCTGCACAAGGTTAAGACAACACCATTCTCATTGAACTTTTTTTTTTCCTTTGGAGACAAGAGTCTCAAGCTATTGCCCTGGGTACAGTGCCGTAGCATCACAGCTCACAGCAACCTCAAACTCTTGGGCTTAAGTGATTCTCTTGCCTCAGCCTGCCAAGTAGCTGGGACTACAGGCGCCTACCACAATGCCCAGCTATTTTTTGTGATTGTTGTTTTAGTTGTCCCAGACCGGGCTCGAGCCCGCCAGCTTCAGTGTATGTGGCCGGTGCCCTACCCATTGAGCTATGGGCACCACCCTCATTAAACTTGTTAAAAGGGCTGGGCTCAGTGGCTCATACTTGTAATTCTAGCACTGTGGGAGGCTGACATGGGTAGACTGCTAGAGCTCAGGAGTTGGCCACCAGCCCGAGCTAGAGTGAGACCTCCATCTCTAAAAACAAAAAAATGAGTCAGGTGTTGTCGTGGGCACCTATAATCCCAGCTACTTGGGAAGCTAAGACAAAAGGATCTCTGGAGCCCAATTTTGCAGTTCCTATAAACTATGATGCCACGGCACTCTACCCAAGGTGACAAAGTGAAACTGTCTCAAAACAAAAAAACAAAATAAACTTCTTAAAAGAATATTAGGCTTTTTTTCAGAAAGCTTGTCATTTATGTTTATACATAGTGGGTTTGCTGTTATTTTTAAACAAGTACTTTTATATAGCCTACATAAAGATTTTTGGATTCTTCAATTTTTAAGACCAAAAAAGTTTCAGAACCACTACTCAAAAATATTATCAAGGAGGGTTTTTTCTAAAACTCTACTGTGAAATAATCTGTGTTCCCCAGTACTCTTGACTCAAATGTCCCAAGGGTTACATCTTATCTAACCATGTTGTAATATGCAAACCAGGAAACTGATATTGTACAAGGTGTATAGTTCAATGCCATTCAATCACATGTATACATAGTTATTTAAATACTACCACAATCAAGAGACAGAATTATTGTTTAACTACAAAGGTCTCCTTCCTGCTACCCCTTTATTGTCAAATTCACTTTGCCAATCCCCTCCTTCCCTAACCTCTGGCAACTACTAATATAGTCTCTGTATTTATAATTTTGTTATTTAGGGAATGTTACATAAGTGAGCCTATACAGTATGACTTCTTGAGATCACATTGTTTTTTGTTTGAGACTCACTGTGTCACCCTTAGTAGAGTGTGGTGGCATCACAGCTCACAGCAACCTCAAATTCATGGGCTTAAGCAATTCTCTTGCCTCAGCCTCCCAAGTAGCTGAGACTACAGGCATAAAATTCTATTTCTTTAATAGTTATAGAATTATTCAGACTATTTCATCTTGGTTGAGTTGTAATTTTGTGTTGTTGCATCAAAAAATTTCCTCTTTTCTAATGTAATCATTCAGTGCTATAAATAACCTAGCCAACCCCTTTTTAACTGCATTCCCCAAATTTTGATCTGTTGTATTTTCATCCATTTCCATGTATTATTTTTAATTTCTGTTCAGATTTCCTTGAACCACAGATTTAAGTGTGTGGTTTCATTTCCATGTGTTTGGGAATTTTCTTCTTGTCTTTCTGTTACTGACTTCTAATTCGATTCACTTATGGTCATAGAATATACTTTGTAGGATTTCAATCTTTTTAAATCTGGTTAAATTTACTTTCTGACTGAAGATATCTGTGAATCTAGCTATCTGTGAATCTTCCAGAGACACCTGAAAAACCTGTATATCCTGGTATTGTTGTTATAGCCTTCTGCAAACGTCAATTCAATCCTGTTGGTTGCTAGTGGTGTTTAGTCACAAAATAATTGAACTACCTCATTTTCAGATGAAAACTCTAAACTGAGGAAGATACTATGAGAAAAATACTATGGCAAAATGGTTAACTCAAAACTATGACCAGAGTCCTAAATTCCAGTCTAGAACACTATGCTGACACACTACACCTATGGAAAGAATTAGAAACACCATAAACATTCACCTACCAAAACAAAGGATTAAGAGACCAGGGGATAAAAGCTTGTATAATACAAACAAGTATCCTAATATAGTTTATTACCATTCAGTAATTAACCTAGACCAAACATAAACAACAAGGAAAACCATTTACAATGGCATCTTTAACATACCCAGGCAAAAAATAATACAAATGTAAATTTAAAAATGTGAAGATTATGATTCCTATAGCTCCTCTCCATCCATACAAAATCAATTTCTACTCCAACTCTTAGCTTAGCTTATAACTATACCCCACACCCCTTCACACAAAGCCTGAGAAGTGTGTAACACCTCTAGTCATAGGCACTTTATTTCAGAGCAATCCATTCTACCTCGTAGTTATTCCCTCTAAGTGTAATAACGGTAAAATGTAAAAAGGAAAAAAAAAAAAAAAAACAGCTGCTAAAATTTTCTCTGGAAACAGATTTTCAGGCAGTAATCACTGAGACAAATCAAATTCCTTCATCTGATTCTCCCACCTACCAAATTCAAATGACATTTGTCTTAAAATAATACTTACCCAACACCAAGATTGCCTTCACTGGACTTAGTGAGATTCTCCTTATGTCCCACACGGAGATGGTTAACTTGACTACACAAATTTTGGAGAAAAGGCAGCAACTCAGAATTAGATATATTTGAGCTGTCACTTGCTTTCTTTGGTAAGAAAGAAGATACTGCACTTTTAAGATCATTTTCAAGAAGCGAGAGGTTTTGTGGCATAATTTTACATTCATCAAGGTTTGTAGGATTCCCTTGACCAGGTGGCTGTGTACTTTTATCAATATAAAGTTTTAAGTTTTCAGTCATGTTTCCAGATGTCAATCCAGTTCTAAAAGGAAAAGGCGTGGAGGATGACTTGTCTAAAGCTCCTAAGGTAGACGATGATTGCAGCCCAACCATATGCTTGTATCCAGTATTTCCCAACACAGACTGAAGCTGCTCTCCAAGGGGAATGCAATTCTAAAGAAGATAAATAAGTACACATTAACAGACATGATACTGAAGCCTAACTTTTAGAGTAGTTATTATGAGTCAGGCACTGTGCATTCTTTTATTTGATTTCAAAACATCCTTACGAAGCAGATTATCATTACTAGCCTGATATTAAGTAGAGAAGACCAAAGCTAACGATGACCTGGCCAAAGTAACACAGCTGGAAGTGGCAGGCAGAACTGGGACCCAAGCTAACTTAACTCCATAGTCAGGGCTTTTAATCATTACACTGCAGCTTTCCTAAAGAAAATACTAAAATACATACTAGCACACATAGGAAAATTACACTGACATATTTTAATGTGTTCACTACAAAGGCCTCTTTAAATCATAGCAATAAAATATAGTACTCTCAACTGAGTCATGAGAATTGATAATCTTCCTAGAATTCAATTATATTATGCCAAACTTTCAACACATGATTAGCTACTCATTTTTACATATTTATATCTTTTGTAATGAGTTTTTCGTGGAGGCTACACACATAGGTGTACTATTTAAAGTTTTACATTCTATGGGTATATTTGTGGCACTTTGAATGACTGAAATGTGCTACCACTTAACTGTGTTTGCTTTAAGAATTGTTGGGATACTAAGAGTCATTTTTGTAGCCCCAACTCAACTGCTTGTGCTGCATTATTTCCAGAGAAGTTTCTGACTTACCTTGTAGAGAAGGTTACAATATCGTTTATGTTATTCTTCCACTAGAGAAAGGCAAAGTACCTAGGCAAAGTTAGTAGGCCTAAGTAACTCATAAGGCATAACGCTCTATTCTAAATTCAAAATATAGAAGTCTACTATAGATTCTTATTAGGGGATAACATCCCATGCTTATTGCTGTTCAATAGCTGGTAAGAAATAGATTGAAACAAGTGACACTCAAGATTAGCTAAAGAAAGTCAGTTCATGTATTCATCTAGATATTCTAAAAAAGTATTGCCAGACTAAGCCAAGCCAACATTCATTTATTCAGTAAATATTTACCAGGAATTTACTCTGTGCTAGGTATGGTTTCAGGCCCTGGAAATACAGCAGTGAGCAGAACAAATTAAAATTTCTGACCTTATGGCGCCTACACGACAGGAGCGTAGGAAGCAACAGACTACACAGGAAGGAAGAAGGAAAATACATCATAGGATGGAGATGGTGATAAATACTCGAGGGGAAAACAATGAGGTCCAGAGAAGGTGGGAGAGGAACTGTAATGTCATAGCCCCATTCAACTGCCTTCACTTCACCACATCTTAGAAAAACGCTCTTTGTAGAGAAATGTTAGCCTTTTGTCAATGTACCTTGTTTTGTCAAATTCAAATTTTGAGTAAACCTGAATATTTGAATATTCCTGAAACAAGATAGATTATATATAATTACACTTACAAAAGTTAACATTAGACAACTTTTCATAAGGTCAAAAACCTTTACTCGTTCATAATGGAAAAACTCATTTATTTCTCCATATTTCCATAAAACATATTATAGACAAGTAAACAACTGTAATGATATTTATACTAGAGTAACTGATTATAAAAACTAGTCATTGGTAAGACTGAAAATGGTATAGCAGTTATAAAAAAACAGTAGAGGGTCCACAAAAAACTAAAAATAGAACTAGCACATGTACCAACAATTCCCCTGGGTATCTATCCGAAAGAACTGCATCAGGATCTCAGAGAAGACACCTGCACTCTGGTCTTCACTGCAGCACTATTCACAAGAGCCAAGACACAGAAAACCCCAATGTCCATTAACTAACGTAGTAATAAGAACATGTGGTGCATACATACAATGCTGTTCAGCCTTTAAAGTGAAGGAAATCTTGTCATATGCAACAAAATGACAAATGTGGAGGACATTACACTAAGTGAAATGAGCCAGTCACAGGAGGACAAATAATGCATGATTTCACTAACACGACTTACCCCAATTGTTAACCTTGCAGAAAGAGAGAGGAGAAGGGGGGCTGCCAGAGGCTGGGGGAAAGGGGGAACAGGAAGCTAATGATCAATAGGCAGAAAGTTTCAGCTACATAGGATGAATAGGTTTTAGAAATCTGTGTAACACTATGCCTGCAGTTAACAGTATCATATTGCGCATTAGAGAATTTAAGAGGGTACTTCTCATGTTAAGTGTTCTTAACACAATGAAAATGTATCATATTTTCTGAGATGTGAGCTCTTTAGGTGATTTTTTTCTCTTTAGATTACATACCAAGAAATTCACAGGTATATGTATATGCCACTACGGGAAATGAACAAACCACTAGTGACTGGTAGCTATTCTTTTTATATGAGCTTTTTCGATTTTAATTTTTACTTGTCCTGACATTGTTTTGTGAGCTGCATCAAATCCTCTTGAAAGGAGTTCGTTAAATACATATTAGATAATTTAAAGGCCTACCTTTGCCAGAATAACTCCACTTGTAGAAATTTACCCCCAAAAGATACATGAACAAGCATACAAAAACAGATGTTCAAGTTCCTTCGATGTACCACTATGCATGCTATCAAAAAAATTTGAAGAAACTTAAACAAACATTCGTGAATAGAGCTGACTGCATAACAGAATATTCAGACAATCAAGGAAGGTTTTATTGCTTAGTAAGAGGCCTATATATCCTTTTAAGTGAAAAATGTTACTTAGCACTGTATGTAACCTGAAAGCATTAGACAGAATTATGTCCATACATTTATACAAAGATATGTACAAAGCTTCATGTATGTATATGTGTGCACATAAACTATACCTGCTGTGAACAATGAGATTTCTGAAAAAAAAGAAAAGAGTCATATTGATGATTCTTACCCTGCGCAGGCCTAGGCTAATGTATATGTTTGTGTCTTTATTTTTAACAAAACATTTAAATATTAAAAAAAATACTAAAACCTTTAAAAATAGAAAAAGCAAGTATAATAGGTATATACAGAGTTTTTGTGGCTGAGCACCCATGCTCAGTGGTTAGGGCGCCAGGCACATTAAATTGGGGCTAGTGGGTTCGAAGCTGGCGAGGGAGGGAGGGAGGGAGGGAGGGAGGAAGGAAGGAAGGAAGGAAGGAATGAATGAATGAATGAATCTCTTATTTTAGAGATTGAGGTCTCAAGATATGACCCAGAATGGTCTCAAACTCCTGGCCTCAAGTAATCCTTTTGCCTCCGTTTCCTGAGTAGCTGAGATTATAGGCACAAGTCACCCCATGCAGTGTTTTACTATACAGAGTCAAGATCACGTTTAGATACACAAATACCACCGTGTTACAACTGTCTATACTTCAACACAGGAATATACTGTAGAGACTTATAGCCTAGGACAAGAGGTCCTAGGCACCATACAACTTAAGGTAGGCACACCAACTAGGTTTGTGAAAGTGCACACTCTAATGTTACACCAGGCATCCTCAAAGTACAGCCCACAGGCCACATGCGGCCCGCCTAGGACATTTATCCGGCCCAAGTGTTTTTGCTGCCGACTTGTCCCAAGGACCAGAGTCCGGCCCTCCAATGCTCTGAGGGACAGTGAACTGGTCCCCTGTTTAAAAAGTTTGAGGACCCCTGGTTTACACAATAATGCAATTACCTAAGGATGCATTTTTCAAAATATATCCCCATCATTAATGGGGGCATGACTGTATACCAGGAGTCCTCAAACGTTTTAAACAGGGGACCAGTTCACTGTCCCTCAGACCATTGGAGGGCTGGACTGTGGGCCCCAGGACAAGTCAGCTGCAAAGCAAGATAGGCAGTGGTGGGAAAAACACCTGGCAGGCCAGATAAATATCCTTGGCGGGCCGCATGTGGCCTGTGGGCCATAGTTGAGGATGCCTGCTGTATTCATATACGTACTTAGATCCATAAACAAGATAGACAAGTGTCTGTATGCATGAAGTTTACACTTTAGTGAGATTAGCAAACAACCAATACATAAAAAACAAACTGATCAGAAGAGCACTGATGAGACTATGATCCACATATAGATCTGGAGGTACACGTGACTTTAATCTGGGTGGCTGGGGAAGGTCTCAGTAAGTAACATTAGGCAGGCACAGTTGGCTCATGCCTGTAATCCTAGAACTCTGGGAGGCCAAGGTGGGTGGCCTGCTAAAGCTCATAAGTTTGAGAGCAGCCTGAGCATGAGTAAGACCCCCATCTCTACTAAAAACAGAAAAACTGAGGCAAGAAGATCACGTGAGCCAGAGTTGGAGGTTGCTGTGAACTATGATGCCACAGCACTTTACCCAGGGTGACAGCTTGAAACTGTCTCAGAAAAACAAAAACAAAGGTGTAACACTAAAATGAGATCTGAATAATAAAAAAAAATGTAGACACCAAAATATCACAAGGCAGGCAGTCTGGCCTGAGAACAGTTACAAGTTCAAAGGTCCTAAGGAAGGAACACATTTGGATATTTAGGGAGTACACACATCAGAAAGTCTAGGGCAAAGTGCCCAAGGAAAGGTGGCTGAAGAGGCTGAGGAGGCAAGCAGGACCCGTATCTGCAGAGGTCTGGGGAAGGGATCAGGCTTTATTCTAAGTGTGGTGGGACTCACTAGCAGGGATTGCACAGGGGGAAGATGACATCTCTTCACCCTTTTGGAAGTTTTGTTCTGGGTAAACTGTGGACAATGGATTATATCAGAGCACGACCATGCAGGAACCCCCTGAGGCATTCAGGTGACAGAATGGTGGAGGAGGAAGAAAAGTACAGATTTCCTTCTTTTTTGCAACCCTCCTTCCTGCGGTTTCCAGAGTCTTCAGCTCTCCTGGTTCTCTTAACTCTGCCCATACTCCAACACTTGTACTAACTGAATACTTAACGGCATTTACAAGGAGTTCTTTACTTGCACTATATAAATGTTCACATCAGTACTGTAACCTTTATAGTATTACTTAAATTGTGTATATGAAGAATTCGCATTGGCAAAGTATCAATTAACTTGCCAAACAGAGCAGAATAATAAAAGCACAAGAACCTGAAGTTGCTTTGCCTGACACCAAACCTTCCTCTTGCTACTCTATCACACTGCCTTCTACTCTGCCCGCTCCCTTTCCCTCCCCCTGTATCCTTATGAAACACAGCAACTCTCCAAGGGTCTGTCTGCCTTGTTTCTGTCTTTGTTAGCTACTGAGTACACTGCTAAACCCCCCTTCCAGCCACTGAAGGCTCACTCTACTTCTCCCAATCCTGTGTTTCCAAATGCTTGCAACATCTATTTAACTAATGTCTTATTTAGAGCTAACTCTCACTGTCACCAAAATTAAACTCCTTTTCCATCCAAGTATCCTCTTCCTTTGGTTGGCATTTATACATACTGACATCATCACACTCAAAAACAATTTCACTTTCGCTTCTCCTTTTCTCCCACATCACCAATATTAAATTAGTTGTCAAGTTCCAATGGCTCCCCTGTTTTAGCATCTCACAATCCAGCATCACTTTACTATGTCCAATCTCAGACCCTCGTTACCCTTATCTGGATAAGAAAAACAAACAAACAGCTGGTCTCTTTCCTCTAGTCTTCTTTTCTTGATCCACCTTACAAAAACAGTAGATTAAAATTTCTTGAAACATAGGTCAAAAGCATTCACAAATTTAAAATAGTATTCAAAGCTCTCTGTTTGAGCTCTAATCTACTGTGAACTTCCCCGGTCACTTCTTTGCTCCAGAGACAAGAACTGCTATTCATGTCTCAGTTAAAACTACTTCTTTTAGCATAGAAGATTTTATCCTCGTTTCTCTTTGTCTGAAATGGCCTCCTTCTAAAATTGACGTGCCTAATCCCACTCTTCTTCTTTGAAGGTCTAGATAATTTCCTTTAGTAAGCCGTTCCTAGTCTACCCCATCACCACCTACTTACATGTTCTAGACTCCTACAGGCTATAGACTAACTCACTATCTTTGCACTCTCTGAAGTGCTCAAACCTGTGTCTTATTCCCTGGGAAGATGCTTAATAAATACTTTGTAGACGAATGAGCAGATAAATTCATGAAAAAGTGTGATGATCTACAGTCAAAACGTTTTGTAAGAGGGTAAATCTATAAAAATGTGAGTTTTACAAAACTAAAGGTAACAGTTGAATCAATAAAAATTCAAAACCATTTTAAGTCACTACATTTCCTTATTAAAAACCATCTTCTTGAAATTTTTAATAGTATCTGGAAAGAAATCCATTTCTACTTACCTGCTGTTGTAATCTAACCATATTCATCAATTGCTGAGCTCCAGGTGATAACTTTGACCCCATAGACTCCATTATGCTTCGGACCTTGTCAAGGTCTATCCTTGATCCTAGAGCAGGACAGCTTTTTGATGAATTTCCCAAAACTGATCTTGTGTGTACCACAACTTTACTGATGAACACACATTGCTTTTCACCAAAGGACAGCAACTATTATAAAACAAAAAAGTTCCATAAAGTAACGGTATTAAAAACCACCACCATTTAAGGTCACTTCTTGGCATTACCTAAACAAGGATGAAGTATTCAAGAACCTAAAAAATTATCTTCAAGTGTAATTTTTCTCTAGAATAATCATGGGAAAAAACTCCAATTTATTGAGGCCCAGATGAACCGTTTAAATTAAAAAGTACTTTCAAAAACAAAGGACCAAATGGCTGGGCTCAGTGGCTCACACCTGTAATCCTAGAACTCTGGGGGGCCAAGGCAAGTGATCTGCCTGAGTTCATGAGTTTGAGACCAATCAGAGCCAGAGCGAGACATCATGTCTAAAAATAGCTGGGCGTTGTGGTGGGCGCCTATAGTCCCAGCTACTTGGGAGTCTGAGAAAACAAAAAACTATACCACATGTAAAATAACAAAAATGCAGAATAAGGTTTACTTAGTTAAGTTACTTAGTTTACTTAATTCCTTAAGGCAATTAACAATATAGTAGCCCTCTTTGATCTATGGGGCTGCCTGAAACTGTAGACAGCACTGCACGCTACATGCACTGTGTTTTTCCCTAGACAGTCCTAACTATGATAAAGTTTAATTTATAAATTAGGCACAATAAGAGACTAACAACAATAATAAAATTATAACAATATACTTTTAAAAAGCTATGTGAATGTAGTTTTTCTCTCTAAAATACTTTGTTGTATTGTACGCCCCTTCTTCATAGATTCTCAGCCCTTTGGCTAAGATCAAGTATACTCACCCTTTTTCTTGGGAAGTATGAGATGATAAAATGCTGCCTAATGAGATGAACTGAGGTGAGTGACTAAGTGTTGTGACTTAGAGTTAGGCCACCTACTGACCTTCTGATGTTACGTATGGCTAATAAGTAACTAACAGGTATGTGTTACTAGACAGAGGAATAATTCATATCCCAGGCAAAATGGATCAGGATGGCATGAGATTTCATCGTGCTACTCAGAACAGAACACAATTCAGAACTTACAAATTGCTTTATTGCTGGAATTTTCCATTTAATATTTTTAGACCACGGTCCACTGCAGGTAACTGAAACCATGGAAAGTGAAATTGCGGATAAGACGGGACTACTGTATACTCATCTGAGACCTTAACATACCATGCTTTCCATGAATTGTTTAACACAAAAGAAGGCTGTCCCTAAGTCCATTCTAAATGTCTGCTGAAATACTACATGCAGTTCAGTCTTTTAGAATTTAGAACCGGAAGAGAATGTCAAAATGTTGTATCAGAGCTTGCTAGACAACACATTCTAAGAGTGATCTTCTCACCTGTCAAAAAATACTTAATTACTAAAGATTGGGCTTAGAATCCAGCTCCTCTGGCTTCTATCCCAGCAGTTTTTCCAACATTTTATGCTGTCTATATTTCTTTTTAAAAATCTTTCTTAGAGATGGGGTCTTGCTATTACCCAGGCTGGTGTGTACTGATAAGATCATTAATTCTCTGCAATCTCAAACTCCAGGGCTCACATAATCTTCTGGGATTACAAGTGTGCGCCGTGATGCCTTACTTTTTAAGGTTTTTTTTGTAGAAAAAAGGTCTTGCTATGTGCCCTGACTGTTCTCAACTCCTGCCTCAACTTCCTTTAGTAACTAGGATTATAGGCATGAGCCACTACCCCATTTTGTCCATATTTCTCAACCAAGAGGCATTTCATGTTTAGTAACTGACAAAAAGTTAGTAAACTGAAAAGACAGGCTGTAGAACCAGACAAATCTAGGTTTAAATTATGTCAGGTACTCAAAACCTGTGTGACTGTGGGAAAATGCTAAACCTGAGGAGAAATATAAGAGAGAATAAAATAACAATGACTTCATGTGGTTGCTGTAAGGATTATGTGTTAAAATTTCCACTATCTACCACTATGTAAGTGCTTAAAAATTCATGTCAGTGACAAGTCTTTAACTTTCATATACTACTGATCTAGAACAAGCTTTCTGAATGAAATAATTATTTGTACTCCCAAGAGAACAATTACTAAAAACATTTACCTGCAGAGACATGCAAATCCATGTCACACAAAGAGATAGGTCAATACAAATACTTGATCTAAAAACTCTTAAGTGTGTAATCCCCCCTGCCTTTCTCATCATCAAATACAGTACATATAAGGTCTGACAAATAAGTCTGTGAACTTATCCTAGAAAAGCGCTGCATACCTCACTGCTGAATGTCACTGTGGGCACCTTCAAAGGTCTCCCCTGGGGAAGCTCTGCACTGACGCCAATGCCCAGTCCACTCCTCAAAGCAAATGTGGAACTCTCTTTGTCTGGAATGGCCATCAAACCTGTTGTCTTGTTACCCTTGATGTCCTAAATGTCTTCCTTTCAATATTTCCTTTATCTTCAGGTAAAGAAAAAAGTCACTGGGGACCAGATCAGGTGTTCTGGGTGTTCCAATACAGTTATTTGTTTACTAACTACAATCTCCTTCCTAGACAGTGTGCCGTGTGAGCTAGTGCACCATCATGATGCAAGAGCCACTGTGTTGTTGGTTAAGATTTTAAGATTTCCCTGTTTCTCTACCGATTTTTACTTGGTCTGCTATGCTTCTCACAGTCAGCTGATGATTCTGATGCATAATTCAATAAATTTTTGCAATGATTTTCATCATTTCTGTTTGTGACTGGCCACCCTAACCTCTCTTCATCAGTGACACTTTCTCTTTCCTCAGAAAAACATTTAATCCATTTGTATACTGCCATTTTCTTCATGGAGTTATTGCCATAAACTTAGACTAACATGTTCCTGATTTCACTTCCACTCTTGCCAAGTTTAAAAGAAATTTAATGTTTGTTTTTTGCTAATTCAAGCTCTGACATTCTCATGGGGGCACACAAAAACACACAACAGTAACAAATGCCACTCAATAAGACACCACCACACACTGACATGAACACAGCTGTGAGACACTGATATACCAAGGTTATGAAACCTTACTGAGTTGTTTGTACAGTGCTGCCAACATAAGCTCAAGGTGGCAAGTTCACAAACTTAATTGTCAGACTTCATATTTTACTAAATCTGCTTATTATCTGTCTTACCCAACTAAAATATAAGCAACATGAGGGCAAGAATTTAGATTTATTTTCTTATTGCTAATTCCTAAATACCTTGTACATTATCTGGCATTAAGAGGCACTCTAGAATTTGCATGAATCAATCATTTTATTTAAATGGATTTAGAAACTTAATATATACTACCCAAAACAACATCTTTGAATAATCAGTTCTAAGAACTTGCTATCTGCCTGCTATGAAAATCACTTTTTTCTTATCATAAAAATCTCATATTCTTCTATAAGTAATAATGAGCACAGAATTATAGAGATAAAAAGAGAGTCCAAGAATTAATTTTCTTAAGCCACCTACATTTACCCATAAGGTAGATTAAGTCAGGTGAAAAAACTTGACCAAGGTTAGACCACTTGTCCATGATGGAAATGAATTAATGTTCAAGACTTAAGATTCCCAACTCAGTACCCTATCCCTACATGTGATGACCTCATTAAAATTCACCTTAACAATATTTTCATGCTGAAGAACAGTCCAATCCCTTACACTTTTTGGTTCCCTTGCCTGAAACTTCTCTAATTCTCTTCTTGCTTGATAAATAGGGCCAAACTGTGTGTGACTTTTGGCATAAAGATGAAAAAAAAATGTTTTCTAGCTCAGTTTTCCAAGGTTTCAAAATATAGCACTGTAATATTAACATGTTAACAATACATTTTCCATAAGTTAAAAAATGGCTGCATTTTAAAAGAAGATTTCAGTGTTAAAAAGGGTTGATAGTTTTTTAGAAAAGTAATTTTTGGCTGGGTGTGGTGACTCCCTGTAATCCTAGCACCGTGGGAAGCTGAGACAGAAGGATCCCTTGAGCTCAGGAGTTCAACACCAGCTTGAGCAAGAGCAAGCCCCCATCTCGACTAAAAATAGAAAAAATTAGCTGGGTGTTGTTGTGAGCACCTGTAGTTCCAATTACTGAGAAGGGTGAGGCAGGAGACTCACTTGAACCCTGGAGTTTGAGGTTATCAGCTAGGCTGACACTAAAGCACTCTAGCCAAAACAACAGAATGACACTTGTCTTCTTAAAAGAAAAAAAAAGTGATTTTTTTGCATGTTTACTGAGTGCTTCTGAACTAAAGCCAGAAACCAAGTAAGACTAATTATATTACCCTATTACCAAACCAGCAGAAAATAAGTATAAATAGTACAAAAACAATTTACTTGCCAAATTTGTTAAAATTTACTGAAAGCTTACCTTTATTTTACAAGCATGTGTAGAGGACTCCAATTTTAGATAATTTTTGTACAAAATGATCTTTCCATGTTCACTAAAAATAAAAAATATTGTTTAAAATTTCATACATTATCACTCAAAAGTGAATATTTCCAGAATAATATTTAAATCTCAAAATTCAGTTTTCCTGCTGAGGCATAAACAGTTTAAACTCCTGTGAGAACTGAATTACTCTGCCCAAGGACTGAGTCTACCACTTACTAGCTATATTAACAGAATTAAACTTGATAACATATATACAATCATGAAGCACAGAGAATATTTTCAAATTCAATAAACATAGTAATTATTTCCAATATGAAGGATTCATATGTTTGATTCTATTAAAGACAGATTGGTGCAGAATCTTTGTAAAAAAATTATAAATTCTAACAGTCTTCCAAGAAGAGGGTATGTTCAAAGTTCCACACTAACTGCCAAATTAACTTCTGGAAAACAGAACCCGATGAGTTAAACAAGAGACACAAAAAACTTAGCAGAACTTCATCATCCTATTAAAACTCTTCCACTAACTAGCTCTAACATTCTATCAATTCACCTCCACATTGTTAGCTCTAAATTTCCCTATTTATAAAAATAATTAAGAGGGCAGCGCCTGTGGCTCAAAGGAGTAGGGTGCTGGCCCCATATACCAGAGGTGGTGGGTTCAAACCTGGCCCTGGCCAAAAACGGCAAAAAAAAAAAAAAAAAATTAAGGGCTCAGTATGATAATCCCAGCGCTCTGGGAGGCCAAGGTAAGAGGATCACTTGATCCCAGGAGTTTGAGGCTTCAGTGAGCTATGATCTGGCTACTGCACTCTAGCCCCCGGTGACAGAGCATGTCTCTGTCGCCAAACAAAACAAACTAGACCGATCCAAACTGACTATAAATAAGACCCCTTACTGGTCTAATCTGCTATATTGTCTTTGAATTTAAAAAAAAAAAAAAAGTTTTTACTTCTCTCCCTAAAGTATGGTGCCTGTGGCAGAGAATCAACAACCTCACCGGAAAGGCTGTGGATAATAAAAACACTGATTCAAAAGAACACTTTCACTTGTACAAGTCACAAACCTGTCATCCAGCACAGTACCAACACTTTTGCCTCTGCTGGTTCCACAGTACTCCTCTCCTAAGTAAACCTCCATATTTCTTGCAGAACTTAAAATGCCAACAGAAACGATTTCTTCAGCTCCGTTCGGGTCATACTTTAGGTAGAGGAAGCAAGGGTTTTCATCTTGGCTGTATAGGCTTCTCTTCAAAATCACTAGACTCTGGCTGAGAAGAAAATTGGCAAAAACATTATATAGTACAGTTCTCTGAACACTGCTCAAAACCCACTTACTTACTAAGCCATGGACATTTCTACTAGCTCACTTCCACTTGCCCTTGAGATCCAAGCACCCCACAAATACAGAATTCCTAGAGAAATGTAAGCTTAAGACGTCAAGGCTTTCCCCTTTCTTGTTTCTCCCAGTGACTGACCTTCTACTCTATTCCCTGTAATTGATTCTCAGATAATTTAAATAAATTTCTCAGATAAATTTACTGGACACTCGTTGTGTGCATACAGGAGTGGGTAAGAGAAGACAATAAAAGACAAAAGCCTATCTGTTTCAAATTTAAGTTGATGGTGCTCCTCTAGAGTTGGCCTTTTCAAAATGCCTGTTTTAGTCGACAGAAAGATTATCTGCTTGGGGGTAGATGGGCAGATTGATTTTTTTTTTTTTTTTTTGAGACAGAGCCTCAAGCTATCCCCCTGGGTAAAGTGCCATGGCATCACAGCTCAAAGCAACCTCCAACTCCTGGGCTCAAGCGAGTCTCCTGCCTCAGCCTCCCAAGTAGCTGGGACCACAGGCGCCCGCCACAACGCCCGGCTATTTTTTGGTTGCAGCCATCATTGTTTGGCGGGCCCGGGCTGGATTCGAACCCACCACCTAGGGTGTATGTGGCTGGTGCCTTAGCCACTTGAGCTACAGGCTGAGCTGAGCCCGGCAGACTGATTTTAGAACTGACGAGCTCTCAAGCCTGACAGAGGGGGACATTTATGACATTCCGAACGTCCAGGTCACTTTTCCCCGCTCCCCGGAGCCCCCAGCTCGCACACCCAGAGCCGCGGCTACTTCGCGGCCGGATCTACCCCCGGCCTTCCCCTGACCTCGCCCCCACCTCGCAGCCGCCGCTTCCTCGCACAGAGCCCGCACCAATTCCACTCTCGGGCCCTGGGCGCAGACCCCGTCCCCTTCCGCGGGCCCCCTCCCTCAGGAGCGTGGCTGTCTCCGAGAGCAGCAACCCAAGCCCACGGCCCGGCGTACCCCGAAGTAGGCGGCGCTGGCAGTTCCTCGCAATCAAAGTCATGGGCGCCGAGACCAGCCTGGGTGAGACTTTGGATTAGGGCACCGCGTGCGACAGCCCACGAAGAGGCCAGCGTTAGACCGCGGGTCACTCCCGCGACCTCAGTCCCGGTCTCCATTGTGCCGCCTCCAGCCAGGCCAGCCCCGCCCCGGAACCTCTCTTCCAGGGCTTGAGTTTCCGCTAGTGCAGCGTGGAAGTGAGGAAGCAGAGCGACTTCCGGCTCGCCGAGCTTCAAATACCCGCCGCCTGTGGCTTCTGTGGGAAGAGACGCAGCTAGCGTAGGGACGCATGCGCAAGCCATCAGGCTTCGGGGACTGCTTCAAAGTCAGCCCCGCAGAGAAAAAGACACAGATGAAGGGTGGAGCATGTGCATCCACAGCCCCTCCAGCACCAAGGAGACTGCGCAGGCGTGGTGAGCTCCGCGCGGGCACGAGGACGAGTTTTCGACGTTGGTCGTAGGGGACCTGCGCGCGATCGGGACGACAGTTAATGGGGAGGGCTGGTCCAATGAGGGGCGTCTGTAGTCAGGTAGGTGTGGTCCTGTAGCTTCTCGAGCCTTCAGGATCAACTCCTGGCCTAGTTATCTTTTTAGACCACACCCGGGGCTTTTCCCGCCACCAGCCCCAGGAGTGTGTGGCATTTGGGGCGGCTAGCACAGAATGCAGAAAAGTGGGAGATAGAACTTTCCAGAAGCCATGCAGGATGGGAATGTGGACAGTGTGCTCCCCCCCCCCGCCCCCCAGCCATCCTCTTCTTATAGAGGTGTGTGCAGATTATTTTTCCATCTTTTGAAAAAAAAAAAAAAAAGAAATGAGATTGCAGAACAGGGGATGTCAGAGTTACAAAGTTGTATTTAAGGCGATAGTCTCCAGAAAATAACGTTTTTGATCACCTGTAATCTGTTGTCTCAGAACTTTGTTTTGGATTCATGATTCAGTGCAAATTACTTTTTTGCTTAAGTTTTCGTTTGAGTTTAGATATTAGGACATGTACCCTCTAGTTATAAATAAGAACAGAGTGATCTTTTGTATTCTTTTTCCCTGTGTTGGGGTGGGGAAAATGATGACTTAATGTATGGTAAGTAAATTCAACCTAGTTGAAACAGAAAATCCACCAAAAACCTAATATATACAGAGCACAAAAGATTCAAATCCCTGACTGTGAAGGTCCTAGTTGACAAAGATCTTTTTAATACTCTAAACTCATCCTAAGTTGTCTTCATTGTTTCTGTCCTACTTCCTGTGGTCATAAACTAACTCTGATCCGTGTTAACATATGTGGACAGTCTAAAGGAAAATAGGCTGTTCTTCAGAAACGCTAATCTGCAATTTCATGAGCAAGATCAGTATTGAAAACTAGATTTTTTTTTTTTTTTTTTTGCAGTTTTTGGCCAGGGCTGGGTTTGAACCCACCACAACTAGCATATGGGGCTGGCACCCTACTCCTTGAGCCACTGGCACTGCCCTGAAAACAAGATTTTGACTTCCTTAAATAAAGTAGAATGACCAGGAATAGAAAACTTTATAAAGAGTCCTATGGTCAACACTTTGTTTTATTCCCATACATCCTGTAAGTCACTAAAGTCTTCATTTTCTTTCTTTTTTCGACAGAGTCTCACTTTGTCACCCTTGGTAGAATGCCCTAGTGTCATAACTCAAAGGAACCTCAAATTCTTGGGCACAAGTGATCCTCATGTGTCAGCCTCCTGAGTAGCTGTGACTATAGGTGCCAGCCACAACACCAGTTATTTTTAGAGACAAGGTCTTGCTCTGGCTCAGACTGGTCTTGAACCTGTGAGCTCAGGCAATCCACCCACCTCAGCCTCCCAAGTGCTGGGATTACAGGCGTGAGCCGCCATGCCCAGCTAAGTCTTAAAGAAAAACTTTTAGTATCTTTCTTCATCTCTGCTGCTTCTGTTTCCAAGCACCAGCTTCAATCTGAACAATTTCAGGAGTTCATTTTCTAGTCATTGGCCTCTATTCTCCACCTCCATTTCTTTCTCTGCACTGTCCTATGTTCCTTGTGGTATTTGATGTGCTTGATTGAATCAAGAACATCTTCATTCAGCATGGCATACAAAGAGCCTTCCTGCTCTGCCCCCTGCCTACCTCCCACCTAAACTGCCATTTCTTTTTGTTAATGAACCCACAAGGGTGGGTCACTGTTGGTCACTGCACAGGAAGCCAATTCTGAGATCAGGCTTGTCAAGGAGGAAAGGATTTACTTCAGAGGACAAGTCAACTGGGACAGGGAGGCACATGGTTAAGGGTTTTTATGGAGGTGAAAATGAATAATGCATAGGGGACTCATACTCCTTGTATGTTTGGGGTGGCATGCAGGGCATGAAGTGCAGTGAGGACTCATGCTGGTTCATATGTCCCATGAACAGAAAATAGTTCTGGTCCCTCCCCAGGGTGGGAGTTTCAGTATTACAATGAACTAGGGGTTAATACTGTTCATTCTTCCAGCCTTGTGTGCAGGCTCAGTGCCCTCGGTCACAATCTGCCCTGGTGTATCACTTATCTTGACTTTCTCCAGCAGTAAGGCACTGTAGTTATCTCAGGGCTGCAAAGAGGTTCTGCTGTTTCCTGGGAAAAACTCAAATTGTTATCAGTGAACAAAAAATTACAAAGTTCTGTTCAGCAGTTTGTACTAAGACCCCTCTGTCTCTTCTCTACTTTTCCAAGAATGCGTTTGCTAGGTCACTGGAGCTGAGATAATGCTGTTTCATCCCTATCCAGTCAAGGACACTCAGCTGCCTGCTTCAGTTCTAATGTGAACACTAGAAACTCCTTTGGAACATGAGGGAGCTAAGACACTAGAGAATTGTAAAATGTTGTTATGAAACCAGTCACATTTTCTTGCTTATTCAAAACCAAGCTGACCTTCACTTTGCTATAGAATTAAACTAATTCCTCTGTGCTACTCTTAGACTTTGTAAGTGTTATAATTCCCTTTTGATCTCATGCTTTGCCAGTTTACATATTTGTGTTCCCCACTACCTGTAAGCTTGCTGAAATTAGGAATTATTTTGTTCCCAGTGGGGGTGTTGTGTACAGGTTTATTGTTTGGAATTGATAAGCTAGTGAAAGTTAGCTGACAGCCAAGAACAGAAAAAGGCAAAACTAATAAATTCAGTTTTACAGTTTTTCAAAGTCTGGGTAGTTAGGTTTCAGAGCTGACCACAATCTTTTTTTTAATTATCCTACATTAACCTTCAAGTAATGACCTCAACCTTAATATGATAAATTGCTCTTGTCATGAATTACAGATGATTTTTTGCTTTATTTTTCATCTTGAAATAAATCATACAATACATGTTGGAGGCGTCCCACCAGTGTCACCAGGATAAACTATGCAATTTGGAGGCTCTATTTTGAGCATTCTGCTATAGTTTATGGTATATAAGAATTCAGTATTCTCTTTAAGAGCATATCTCAAATCTGTTTTCAGAATATGAGCCAACATATATTTGAAAAGAACATTTTGGAAGAAAATGACTTAGTGCAGTGGTTCTCAACCTTCCTAATGCCGCGACCCTTTAATACAGTACCTGTGGGTCACGACTCCCTCTGACTTAGGGTATTAATTTTCTTGAGCATATTCATTTAGTGATGCCACAGTTTAGATTTTTCAACGATCTTAATTTTACATAAAGTAAGTTCTTACTGTATGGGAACTGCCCTTTACCCAGCAAGGAGTAACTTAACTTCCCTTTCAGCTACTTGGGTTTTACTTTCTCCTCTCCCTTTTTTATAGGTCCTACAGTTGCTAGGAATTCCTTCTCACCTTACCTCACTGCTGGGCGTACAGTTAAGGAAGGAGTGGAAAAGAGAGAACTCACTATCTCTTCCCCTTCTTCATTTATAGATACCCACTCTACCTAATAACCACTGTTCTGGTTAACAACATTGGATTCTGTATGGTTTTCAGTACAGCCTTTCTGAGGAAATGTAGAAATGTCGCAGAGTTTCCTGAACTATAAATGAGTCTGTGACCACATCTATGATTATCACCTATGTGAAACCCTTTATCCTAAAACTGCTATATAGTGAAGGGATGTCTAGGAGGTTCAAACCCTGCAGCTTCCACAGTAACTGGCTTGTGACCAGCTCCAGGGAGATAACCTGTAACCCACTGGAATGCCCTTCCTGATTAGAGTGTCCTTGGACCCCACCAGCTAGCTTATATTAACAGTATAATGTATAGTGAATGGCCACACTTTACCAGTTTGAGCTATGGAGGGGCCGAAGACTGGTACTACATACCTCCCTGACTAACCCACAATATAAACCTTGGACACCAATGCTCAGATGAGCCTTCCTGGTTGGCAATACTGTGTACATGTTGTCCCACATCATTGCTGGGTAAATTAAATGCCATCCATACAAATACGCTGGCAGTGGACAACTGGCAGCTTGCACCTCGTCTCTCCTGCATTTTCCATGATGTGCCTTTGCTATGCTAATTTGAATCTGTATTCTCTCACTATAATAAACCATAACCAAGAATTAACTGCTTTGAGTTCTATAAGTCCTTCTAGCAAATTATTGAAACTGAGAGTGGTTGTTGGATCCCCTGATCATAGGTGTATGTCAAGAGTTGGAGGCCGGGCACAGTGGCTCATGCCTATAAGCCCAGCTCTCTAGATGCCAAGGTGGGTAGATTGTCTAAGCTCACAAGTTCAAGACCAGACTGAGCTAGAGCGAGACCCTCATCTCTTAAAAATAGCCGGGCATTGTGGCGGGCACCTGTAGTCCCAGTTACTCGGGAGGCTGAGGCAAGAGAATTGCTTGAGCCCAAGAGTTAGAGGTTGCTGTCAGCTATGACACCAGGGTACTCTACTGGGGGTGACAAAATGAGACTGTCTCAAAAAAGAAAAAAAAGAGAGTTGGACATTCCCATTAGTAACAGCAGTTGATTCTCAGTGGGAAAGTAATTAAGAGTTTTATTGGGGGACTGTGTCTGTCTTTTTAAAAGAATCCCATGCTAATCTTACATGCTTTTCCTGCATCCCTGCCTCTGTCTACATCACTATCCTAGAATCTTAGTAAAGACAGTAATTTAAAGTTTGAGGAAAAAAAAATTTTTCTTTTTTTGAGGCAGAGTCTCAAGCCGTTGCCCAGGTTAAAGTGCTCTAAC